TTTTTTAGAGGGTTTTTAATTACTTTTTAATTAGACAATTTAAATATTTCATTTTAATTAATTTTAACTTGTGATTGTTAGTGGTGTTTTTAATTGATTGTCAGCCGCCCTGAGTCCGCAAGGAGAAGGGCGGGATATAAATTCAAATAATAAATAAAATAAATAAATAAATTCTATGCTATGCAAACCTAACTATAAATTGGACACTGTAGTAGCATATTTAAACATTCCATTTTCATTGATTAGCCACCCTTACCTTAACTGATGCTCCCTGAGATGAGATAATATATCCATTCCATGAAGATAGTAATAGATAGTATTTAATTCCTGAAAACAACAACGACATGTTAATTCATGTTAACAGAATATGTTCTTCTGAACTTGATTTCTAATTCCTTCCTTTTTCTACAATTTCAGGATCTAAGCAAAAAACAACAAAAAACACCACACCCTGATTTCCAGTAACAAACGGAATAAATAACTGTGCTGGTAATTTAATAAAGGAGTAACCCAAGTATTTTGTATCCTTTGCTTCTGGGAATAATGATGTGATATAAGATATTAAGAACAACACTAACAGAGAAACATAAAAGAGTGAGCAAATAATTTCAAAGAGGAACAGCAGTTGCCATTGTGTCCTTCCTAGGGTTGAGAGAAAGTGACTGGTCCAAAGTCATCCAGCTGGCTTTGCACCTGAGGCAAGACTAGAACTTATGGTCTCCCACTTTCTATCCTGATGTCTTAACCCAGGGGTGTGAAACTGCAAGCCCGCAAGCCGGGCGCGTCATCCGGAAGCCACGCCCATCCCGTTGTCGGCAAAGGCAAAACCATCCCGATAAGTTGCACGACATCACGTGACGTCGCGAGTTTGACATGTCTGTCTTAACCACTACACCAGATTGCTACATCAATCTTACTTAAAGGTAGTTTGGGCTTAATCCCTTGGCTTTGCTTTTTCTCCAACCCAGTATTTGCTGCCATCAGGAAAATTACCACCCAACAAGTCTCAATAAAGTGTGGTGAGGGTGGCCTTGGATGAGTGCAAGTCATGGGTGGCTGAGTGATTAGGAATGGTTTCTGAAGGGGAGTGAGGTGGCCTAGTGTTCTTCTGCCACTTGGAGAGAAGGGGAAAATTACACAACTCCTGTCAATTTCAGGAGCTTCTGCTGCAGTAAATGGCAGTGCTGGCAGTTATAGATAGTTTTTCTTCCTTTGACAATGGTTCAGTTATGATTGCCTTGGAAAAAGTAATCACCCTCTGCAGTCATGTGGTCGCATTTTGGGTGCTTGGCAACCAGTTTGTATGTACAATGGTTGCCACAACTTGCAGCATCACATGATCGCAATTTGTGACCTTCTGGGATGACCTCTGACAAGCAAAGTTAACCGGGGAAGCCTGATTCACTTAATGACTGCATGATTCTCTAAACAACAGTGGTGATTTGCTTAATGCCATGGTAAAAATGGGTCATAAAATGAGATCCAGTCACACGATGACCTGCTTAACAATTGCATCGCTTAGTGACTGAAATTCCAGTTCCAATTGTGATCATAAGTCAAGGACTATCTATATTGGTGGTGGACAGCAGTATGTTGAAATATATAGGCCTGATAGTACTGAAGCAGAAAAAAATATCAGTATCTCCCTTTTCAAAGTATTGAAAACATTCAAAGGCAAATGTCAGGCAAAACCAATCATAAAAGAGCATAAAAAACTCTACTGCCGTCCCTTGGGACAAAACCAGAAGAGCAACTCTCACGGTTTAAATCAATTTGCAGCCCTGTGCTTTTACAGGTAGGTCTATTGAACTTTTGAAAGTGAAGATGTGATTAATAACAAGCTTAGAGATTTTCCAGACACCTGGTGTGCTTTGCAAAAAAATGAGTCAGATATTACACAGGGAGGTGACCAGGGGCTGGGTCAAAACAGTAATGAATTCTCAACACTCTCTTTGTTCCTATTCAACGACTGGATGAAGCTGCTGGGCAAATCATCAACAGTCAAGAATCCACAGTTTGCTGGTGTTACCCAGTTTTACATTTCAACCTCAGGGAAAAAAGATGATTCCCGCTGAGGTGCTGTCGCAGTGTCTGGAGACTTAGCGTCTGAAGAGGAAAGGCTTAATCCCAGCAAGATGAGAGTGGGCTTAGGTTCAAAGCCATCCGGTTCCACAGAAAGAAGCATCGTTAGTTTTGACTGGATCATACTCCCCTGTATGGAACCAACCCTTCACAGCTTCATCATCAAGATCATGAATAAGGCATTGCAAACTATTTGTCTGCCAGAAGACAACAAAAGGCATTATTTTAAAAGTACAACTGAGGACAAATTTAAAGCTTCCTCATGAGGACACATCTTCCAAAAATAGTTAGTGGGCTGTCTTTTTGCTGCAATTTGAAAAATGTGTACAGGCGCTTTCGTTCAGGTATGTGAAGAAAAAAATGTGAAACTGCTCCACATTTTTTTAAAATCCATTAAACTCTCACTCTAGAATTCTGGTGTTCAAATTAGACTGTCTGAGTTGTAACACTGCTTCCTCTTAAACAGAAACAATGCAATACAAGGGAATTGTACAAGAGGCAACGCAAGAAAACAAGTCATACTGAGTCAGAGACAGTATCAACTCTTAATGACCTCATAATTTTACAACTTATAACATTATGTCAAACAAAAGTACCCAGTTAGTAATATTATCCTATGCTATCAAGATGGAACTTATTTATTTCCTATTTCTTTTTCTTTCTTTATTTTTATTAATTGATTAGTCTTACTACTATATAAAAATTTAGATACTGTACAGGATCTAACTCCAGAGTAAAATAGATACAAAAAACCAGTAATAAAATAGATATGTGGTAAATACAAAATTCAAATAAATATAACATCTTTACATGGTGTTCTGATCTGTTCTATATAATGGGTTCTTAGCTGAACTGTCTTAAGTATAAACTTAACAGTTCTGCTCACAATGTATACATTAGAGCCCTGGAGGAAACAGGACAATCTGCAGTTCAGATCCCAGTGGGCTGCTGCTCTTTTTCAAGTAGAGGTTTTATTTATTTAATTTTATTTAACAAATTTAGAANGCAAAACTCTCCCAATACGTTGCCCAACGTCATGTGACGTCGCGAGTTTGACATGTCTGCTCTAGCATAAGCCCTTCTTAAGAATTGTGTCAAGCACATTGACAGGTATCTTTCAAATTGTAAAATAGTTTTGTTCTTAGCCAACCAATATAAAGATTTCTTTTTAACCAATAAAACCACGTCAGTTTGGGCACTGATGTCCAAGACTCTCTGCTTAAAATTTCCCTTGCCTGGGAGACAATTGAGAGTAAATACTGGGTGAAAATCCCATGCTGTGAAATAACTTTGTCAAATCAGCTACCAGAGGCGGCACTTGGAGCCCTCTCTGTGGGCACACGTGCCGTTGCCCCAGCCTTGCCTCCCCCTGCGATCCTCCTCACCAGCAGCCCCCCGGAGGAGAGTTGCCCCCGAGCGTGGCCCACGCGGAGCAGTGCAGCCAAGGACATGGCAGCCAGACAGCGTAGACAAGACTCAGCATCAGTTGATGCTGCGGGGCACGGGCAGAGGGCGTGGCCGCCATGGCGCTGCTGGGCGATTTGCGGCAGGCCATGGAGGCGGTGAGTGGTCCTGCGGGCAGGTGGGGTGGGGGCGGGGCAGGGGGTGGAGTAGGGGTAAGGCCAGTTTTTGGGCACTCAGTCTCTAAAAGGTTCGCCATCATTGTCCTAGACCGTTAACCCATCCACATCTATAGAGCCTGGGTGGCTACCAAAATGTGGGGAAAGAAATATCTTTTACAAATGTTTAAATCCCAGAAATTAAAATTTATAAAACAACTGGCATCAAAATGAAAATTTGAAACTAGTAACAATAGAATTTTATAACAGCAAGTTAAATGTAGGCTAGAGCTTCATACAACATGCTTCACGTGCTTCATGGAACATGACTCCAAAGGATCAGGAGAGAAGGGCCATCTGGAGCGCATGATGCTGTGTGTTCCAAAGAGACAGGTTTGCCACCGAGAAAGCCTGCTTTTGAGGTCTGTCCCCTAAAACTACATTATATTTGATTAATACCAGTGGAGGACGGTTCCAATTCAATGGGCTCAAAATTAATACTTACTAAATGTTGGTAAATTGGAGGCATGAATAAAACAAAATGAAAAAATATGGATGGTTATAACATAATTATGCTTTACTATAAGCTAAAGCAGAACACAACATCTAACTAAAGATTCACTGCTCAAAATGCTATTTATCTATTACAGATATTAGCTGTCAAAAGAGTTTATTAGCCAAAACATGATTTACTGTTCCAAGGGAAACTAGTTAAACATCACATATTAGACCTTCCAGGATCTACTGTCAAAACATTCTTATCAAGAATTACGGTTTATCAACTTACACAGTTATAGTTATTGAAATAGCATTTTCGTTAATTTCCTTTAAAAGAAATCATACTGTTGATATCCTACAACGTGAATGTAAGATACAAGCCCTGCCATCTTATTATTATTATATATCATATTATTATGTACAATATCTCAGCAAAACTACAACTGTCTCAGTTGCTAAAGAGTTGCATATACTCCATTACAAACGAACTAGCAACCCTACACTACAGTATTAAGGACTGAGGTAGTTAATTGATTGTAACCAGATAACCATCCTTTAAAGATACCTCATTGCCATTTGAATCTATATTTGTATCTCGCTTGGTAAAGAAAAAGCAAGTTACTGGTAACTGAGTGAAATACCCAATTCTGGGATATCTCCCCATGTCATAGTTCGATAGATGAGACCAGTAGAAATAAGAACTCTGAAGCAATTGATTTCCTCAAAGAACAATTTTAATGGCTACATCATGTCAGCACGATTAAAGGTGAAATCAAGACTGAAAGTTACCCTCCCATAAGGTTACAAGTAAAAGTTAAACTCCCCACCCACTGATGTGTCATAAATCACAATCCCCAATTAACACCTTTGGTGGGCTTTCTAACGGTAGTTCCAGCCCGCCAAGCCATATAAAGCTATATTACTCAGATGCAGCCATTGAATTGCACTTGGAAACCCATTAGTAACCAATGCAAAAGTCTTAAGATAGTTCTACTATCACAGTGACTAGCACAAATCAACAAACTGTAACTGTAATTTTTGAGAGGTATTTAATTTCTACACAATCCATCTCATCTAAGCAACTCTGGAAAATTTATAAACAATAACTTTAAATGAGACCTCTCCTAGTGTGCATGTTCATTGCATGGTTTAGGCTTTTCTTAAAAATAAAACTGGCTCTAAAAGAGGCATTCCCCCCCACAAAGAAA